GTACAGTGTGATTGAAACTTTGTGGCCCATGCGCATAAGTCGGTATTTTGTGGAAGAGCCACACTCAAGGGGCCAAAGAGCCGCATGTGGTTCGCGAGCCACAGTTTGCCGACCACTGCTCTAACTCATCTCCTTGCTACCTGCCCTTCTGAACTGGGTTGCTCAGAAGGGAGGCTTTCATTCTCACAGTTTCCCCTGGAGGAGTAGGTGAAGCAGGCCTGTGGTTTCCCTGCTAGTTGAGAAAATGGACTGTTCTGCTCCACAAACCTTGCTCTCCATACTGCCCACCAGAGCATGCAGTAGGGAGAGAGGAGGGTCCATCTCTTGTCTTAAGTCTAAGCCACATTCTGCAAAAGAATTTACCAGATGCTCTACGTTTGAGGGATTTGTTGGACATGTACCAGCCAGTAATAAAGATGACACTTTGGTCCCACTTTGTTGGCAATTCTTATATGAACTCTTCCATCAGCCAGAACCTTTAAGAGGAATGGGTTGCATCAAACCCCACCTTAAGCCCCTAATACATTTGTGATGACATGACTCAGACTAATGCGACAGTCCCCAAAGAACCCATAAGGAGACAGACTCCTAGTGCAACCACGGTGGCTGATGTGTGTAGCTACATGAGCATGGCCTTGGCCTTGGCCAGTGTACCAGGTCACAGCAGCTTTCTCTGAAGTGTCAGCTGCAATATCAAGCACAGCTGACTGAAATCCTCAGGTGCCAAACAACGGATATTAAGAGAAAAATTCCATTCTAAGAATCAGAAGTAGCTTTTCTTTGGTGCACACAAGGAGCAAGCAGACACTTGGCCTTGAGCTAAGCCAGAGATGGGAGGGAAGCTCTCACAATGGCTTTGGACCTGAAAGGCAATTCTGCTTCTCAAGGACTTTAGAGTCCTGGTGGAGAGGCTGAGGAGCTTGCTGGAGTCGAGAAAGGATCAGTTAAAATCGGGCTTTTCTTCAAGCTGAGGGGAGAGCCACAGTGGCTAGAGTAGTGGCGGGGGTGGGGGACTCCAGGGTGGGAGCTTCCGGAGTAGAGTCACAGCTCCCCTTTGTTTCTCAGGCTGGGCCCAGGGACCAGCAACCAAGGCCGTCAGAGGCCCAGGAGTGTTATCTTAGAATCCCTAGCTCAGCGAAAGGCAGGGCCACTTGCCCAAGTCAGAAACCTGGCTCTCATTCGCTTCCCATCACAACCCACATCCAAGTTTACCCTGTTCATAGCTCTGCCCGTGTCAATGCTCTAGGTCGGGTACTACTTTCTTACCTGGAAATGCAAGGGCCCAAGTAACTGGTCTCCCTGCCTCTGGTGAGTTAATAGAGAAACTTTTCAAAAACATTGATCATGGCACTCGGTTTAAAACCCCTCAGTGGTTTTCTATGGCCTTTGATGTAAAACCCAAAACACCGTCACAGAACCTCTCTAGCTGTAACTTGGCTTGAATTCTACATCATTTAGCTGATTTTGGATTGGTCTTCGAATGCCAACTTAAGCATCATTTCCTCTAGCTATCACACAGCCCCTCCCAGCTTGTTACATGCTTCTTCCTCCGCGCTCCCGTCATCCTTTCTGAAATCTGAGGCTCTATCACAGCACCATGATGCTGGGTGACGTGGCCATCTCCTCCACCGGTGGGAAAGCTCAAATGCCGGGACCATGTCCTTCATCTCTGCATGCCCGATGCCTAAAGATGGCTCTCCAAGTGCTGGTGACCCAAATGAGTAAAATACAGTTCCTGCCCTTGAGAAGCACTGTCTAGAGGACAGGGACACAAGCTAGACAAGTGCTATGACAGATATAGGATCAACATTCTACATCAACACCTTCCTCTCCATAGTTCCATTCTTACACACAGCACTAGTCGCATTGTTGAGTTTTTGCTTCACTGTCTGTCAAAACACGGAGCCAGAGATAAGGGTTGGGAGAGAGGAAGGGTGTTCTATTCTTCTTTGAATCTTCAGTGCCACACACAGAATCTGGCATATACAGGTGCTATATATATTGAATATATGGAATAATTTAATCATGCCCCTCCTAGGGCGTGGGGAGGTGACCAAGGAAAGCCAAAACAAGAAAATTGACATTATCATTGAACTTGAAAGTCATCTCCCAGAATGAGCAAAGGCATCGAGTGGCAGGACGGTCTGGCAAGGGCCCTGGACAAGCACAGCTGATTTAGAAAGGTGCCCCAAATACATCAAGCCTGAGGATAGCCGGCTTCTCCATTCTATCCTGGGGGAACCTTTGGATGTCCTGAGACGCACAGAGAAGAGGTAGTTATCCTAAAGCGCCTATCCGCTTACAAATCGCCGAGGGAGTCTGACCTGACAAGAGCAGCTGCAAATCCTCAGACATCACGTAACTCAGAAGTGGTCACAGGAGACACACAAAATTCAGCAGAGGCTTCTTCCATTTTCATCCACCTCAAACCAGGTACTAGCATACCCCAAATTCACACAGAATTGAGGATGAGACCACGGGGACCATGCCCCTTAGACCTGACTCAAATATGCCATGCAACTTATTTGGGGACCATAATGTGTAATTTTAAATATCATATTTCAATAAAAGAAGCTATAGAAAACGTGTGTCAGAAAAACGGGGTGGGGGGGTGGTGAAGTGCAGTAGTTTCATGTAATGGAATTGCAGTTAACGATGATTCTGTGGAATACATTATGTGACATGCCCCATGCTTTTCAGCTGATAGAATCAGAATGAACTTTGTTCTAAAGCAAACCCTTAGATGTGCAGGCAAGGCAAAGAAGAAAGCCAAAATGAAAATACTGTTTTAGTTTATATGTTTATGAAAACTTGTTCAGGGGAGTTCGCACACACTACAAATACAATCTCAGGAAGCTGAAGTTTCACGCGCCTCTTATTACTAATTCACATTTGGCCTGTTTCTCTCACCTGTAATCCAGAACCAGGCACCACACAGTCTCCAGGAAAGCCCTGGGCCATCCCGTGCAGGGGACAGGGTGGCACTTTCCTACTCCAGCCATCCATTCTGTGGAAGAGCTTAGCTTGGAAGTGTCCCCATGCCCTCGGGACCCATGGATGTTGCATTGTCCTGCCTCAAAGAAAGGGGGTACATCCTGCTAGTAGTTTTATTTGAATAAATTGTTTAAAATCTGACATGTATAATTTCAAAAACAGAGAAGAGTAAATTGAGCAGAAAATCGGTTGTGTTGTCTTTTACAATAAGGAACGCTGACCAGCCTATTCCTTGCATTAAGTGGGAATGCGTGACTTTGCAGCCCATTATAAATAGCCATTCTTTACATCAAGAAAACAGGGGAAAGAAGAAAATATCATGCATGCAGAAATGAGGAATATCCTAAATATGGGGAGCAATTTGAGAGAGCAACTCGGAGGGGAAAATCCTAATTCAAGAATGCAGGACAAGATCACAATGAACCTCTGAGGACATGAACTTGTTTGAGTGTTTCTGGGTTTGTACAACGTCTACTGTGATCAAGAGCTGACCCTGTTATAACTCCTTCGGCATCAAAATTCAAATATGTCTATATGGGAAAAGTTCCATAACATGTCAAATCTGTTTATACAATGGGTCAGTAAGCACACAGATGTTACAAAGATTCCTCGAAAAGGAGTATTTGCTGAAGAGTGTTTTAGCCCAATTGATATTTAGTCTGCATAGGGCTAGAAAAAAAAAGAAAAAGCTTATGTTTGTTTATATTCTTCTTAACCTAGAAACATACCTATTATAAGAAAGGTTGTTATATCAAATTCACCCCATGCTGTTTGCATTCATTACGACTAATAATACTTACAAATAGGACACTGACATCAAACTTAGTAAAATGTCTCTTTTAAAATTCAAATTTATTATGGCTTTAAGGAAATATGTGATTAGGCATCCAAGCTCTCTTTAAGTAACATTTTTAAAATTACCCATTGTAGTGTTCAACGTTGTATACACTTTAGTTTTCAATATAAAAAGATGAACAATGTATGATTTTATGTGTTCATGCAGGTTGAAGAAGAAATGATGCTGAATCAAACTCCCAAACCCAAATATCTGGGGTAACTGAGTCAAATATCTTAAAGTTGATTTATTCTGTGTTTGTCTATGATGTGTGTACATTGATTACAATTACTACATGAGCATCCAAAACTGACCTGAAAGCTGATTGTTATCCAAACTTCAAATTCAACAATTCCATCATCTCCTCCCTATTACAAAACCAGATATTTAAATATTACCAGAAGGGCAGAACCAGTATGACCATGTCTATCTTTCTTTAGCAATAATGTCTACTTCGGGATTGGCTAGGCCTAAGGCTAAGAGTGGAATCTGGCTTCCTCCCAGAGAAGCTATAATGAACCCCTATGAATATTGTTTTGGACAGACATACCCTGAGGGCTTCACTCTGTAAAGCAGAAATATCTGAGGTTGATTCCAAACCCCACCTTACCAGGGCTGACTTTGTACACAGCCACAGTCTCACGCAGCACCCTCCTCAAACAAATGTTGCTATAGTCCACCACACATCTAAATAAAAAGAAAATTAGAAAAAGACTTTTCAAGAAAACTTAAGATCCAACTCAAACCAAGGTTTCCTTTTAATCTTTGATTTAAAAAAAAGATGTCACATAAACATTTTTCATTCCTGATTCTGTGGAAAGACTTGAAGACCAACTTGAGTGTCTGTCCAACCTACGTCCTCACCACGTGGCTTGCAGGACTTTTTCAGGTGTAATTAGTCTGATTCCGTGTTTGAGAAATCAGTAGGGCTCGTTTCCTCTGGATGTGTTTCTTGTTCCCCCAGAATGCAGTGTTTCCTTGGATCTTCACAACAGTGCTCTGAGATGGGCAGGACAGGCCTACCCATTCCAATTTACTGATGAGCTTATGAGCAGGCGACGTGTCAAGCGCTCACTGTAAGAACGGCTGTGACCCAGAACCAAATGCTCAATCCAGAACTTCCATTCTTCGTGCAAAAGCATAAAAAAGACATGTGATTGCTAATTTACTAACCAATCTGTTGATTTGAACATATGGACGATATAATCCCCTTCGAGGTCGGCCATCCCCTTAAATCTCAACCAAAATTGAGAGTTTCCTTGCAAATCATGGCCACAGATCTGCCCTTCACTTGTCTTCAACTACTAAACACCTAACTGGCCCTCTCTAGGAAACTATTTTTCTGGTGTGCAAGAGAAAGGAACTTTTAAGAATCCACAGCTGCCATGAGGATACATGAGAGGATGCTGCTAGAATCTTATAAGCCCGGGGGAGAAAGAACGAAGCCCCAAGGAAGTTACTAGGAAGTTTACATAATATTGGTATTACCTTTATGAGTTTAAACATAAGAAATAAAAATCATACCATTTATTGTTTCCTAAATGGCCTATGAAGGTTAAGTGACTATACTACTTAAACTGGAACTGCATGATTAAGGTGATTTACACTGAAAATATACTTAATTCCTCCCTAGGAAGACTGCTTTAAATCTACCAAAAGAGATTCGTCATCTACTCTCACCTGGGGTTTAAAAGTAACTCTTAAAGGCTCAGGAGTTGGGATTTCCTCCCCTTCGCTGGGAGGATGCACCACCCCGGCCTCCTCATGGTCTGTTTCACTGAGCTCATTGCCGTAGAGCTCACTGATGGGGCCCAGAGACTGGCTCCCGGCAATGATGTCCACGCCCATCTCCCTGACCTCTTCTGGGGCTTTGGCCACCGTTCCTCCTTTAGCTTTCCGAAGGCCACGCATCTTAAAAGTGTCCTTCGATGGAGCTGCGTTAGAAATAGATTGCTTAAATCTTTCCCCTGACTGCTTCAGCCTCTCTCCTGACTGCCTCAACCTCTCTCCTGACTGCCTCAGCCTCTCTCTCCTCTCCGGGGTCACTATTCTAGTTCTCATTCTGTTGACTTTCTTGTCAAAATTCTGCCGTGTCTTCTGCATGTTTTCTTTGGAAAATGCCTTTTTGATATTATCAATGCGCTCCTTGCCTGACTTTCTAAGCCTCGTGGATCTGCTTTCTTCAACGTAATATTCTTCGTCTGAAGACAGATCTATTGGGGGATCAAAGACATCTTCATCGTCCTCCTCTTGATTCTCAGTTATGTTTTTGTCTTTAACAATAGACAGGGATGTTGGACACCGAATATCCTCCTGAAGGAAAAAGAAAGCATGTTAGAGACCAGTTCTTTTACTTTCTGCTGTGCCTTTAAATCTCCTCCATAGGCTGTTTATCCTCTGCCCACTTCTCTTTTTAAAAAAATTTTTTTAATGATTTTTAGAGAGAGAGGAAAGGAGAGGGATAGAGATAGAAACATCCATGAGATGAGAGAGGCATATCATCAACCAGCTGCCTCTTGCACACCCCCTACTGGGGATCAAGCCCACATCCCGGGCATGTACCCTGTCTGGGAATCGAACCAGTGATCTATTGGTTCCTGGGTTAATACTCAACTGGTGAGCCACACCGGCCGGGCTGCCTATTCCTTAAATGTTGGTATTTCTCCAGGTTACTCTCTCCTTAGCCCTTTTTCCTTCTTCATCTCCCAAGCTCACCCTGAGCAACCTTATCCAAGCCTCTGCCTAAAGATCCAATTGTAAGCAATTTCACAAATATTTCCACCTTTCCCTTTCTCCTAAGATGAAGACACATTTTTAAATAATGGACAGACTCCTCCACCTAGTAGCACAAGTATCTCAAACTTAACTCATCATCCTCTCCACAGCTACTTCCCTTCCTGAACCTCTCAGCAACAATACCCATCCAGGGGCCACTCAGAAACCTGAGTCATCATCCCAAATATTTTCTCTCCTTCCCATCCCATATCTAACTGCTCACCAAGTACCATCAATCATACTGCTTAATAACTCACCTGTTCCCTCCTCCTTCCTCCTTGCCTCTAACAAGGTCTTAATTCAGGTTCTTGTCACCTCAGGCCTGAATCTGTGTGAAACTTCTACCTTCAAAACATCACCTAAGCATTTCCTGAGAAATATGTCTAAAGCATAGCTCTGATCACATCCTTTCTCTACTTTAAAACTTTTGGGAGCTCGTCATTACTCAAAGGATAGTGTTCAAACTCTTTAATATGATGAGAAGGCTCTGCAGTTTGAGCTAAGCCACTTTCCCCCAGTCCAGCAGCACACAGCCACTCTCGGTTCCTCAAACACGTAATGCAAACATTGTATAGGTGGGTCTTGCTTCCTTAAACACCCCTTCACCTCTCTTCAACTTTGTAAAAAATAGCTCTCTTCAAGAATGGGTTCAAATGTCCCAACTTCCCCAAGAGGCTAATTGTGTCTCCAATGTACATCAAAATGTCACGTACATACCTCTATTTATAGCATTTATCACAGTCTGAATTGAATTGGAACCCTACTTATTTATAAATGTCTCCCGGGGGCTTTCACTTAATGAAAAGTTCATGAAGACAAAGATGTGTCTTATGTTTGATGCCCAGTATGACTGCTGGGTTAAAAAAGAGGCTATATCTTCTTCCAACAAATAGTAACTAAACACCTACCATGCACAGTCAATGCTCTAGCAACCGAGAACAGCCTTCTGTGAGGAAAACAGAGTAGAAGAGCTTATAGTTTCAGAGAGAGATAAACAAGTTAATTGTAAAGTATGTTGGATGGTGGTAAGTGCTAAGAGGTGAAAAATAAAGCAGGGAAGGGGGGGAAATACAGTGACTAGGAAGGATGCTCGGAAAGGCCTCACCAAAAGGTGACATTCTATCCTAGACCTACAGGTAATGGGTATACCCCGAAGAAAGGGAGGAACAGCAAGGTGGACAAAGTGGTTGGAGCAAAAGTGATCAGGGGGACAGGGCAAACAAAAAGGAGGGAGAGAGGGCAAGAGAAGGAAACAGGAGGGGCTAGATCCGTGTAGGGGCTCTGTATCCCAATATTTTTGAGTGTGAGAGGGAAGCTTTTAAGAGTTCTGAGGGAGAGAAGTGCCATGATTTGACCCATGTTGTAAAACGGTCACTCTGTTGAAAATAGGCTATGGGGGCAAGATAAGAAGCAGGGAGAGTGGATCAGGGTGTTGGCAGAGGTGGTGTGAGAAGTGGTCTGATTCACTTGACGTAGAAGCACAGGATTTGCTGTAGATTG